GGCAGGCACAGAAGTTCCTGCTCCGTCTGACCGAGACCTGGAAGCAGAAGGTGGCACAGACTGTTTTCAGGACAAGAGCCTACCAGAAGGGGAACTCGGGGTTCACGTCTGCCTCTCTCCCAAGTCTTAAAAATGTGAAACACTACGACCACCTGGGGACGCCATGCCAAGTGAACTCAGTCTGTCACAGAGGGCTGATGGTGTATGATGAACTTGCATGATGAACTCGTTGTTGGTAGTTGCCAGAGGGGGGATGGGGTGAGGGGGCACCGACTTCCTGCTCCTGATGAGTCACCCGGCAACAGTCCATGGTGGGGGCTGTACATGAGCAGCACAGTCTAGCCTTGATTTTGCCCCTTAAGGCGGTTCCCCCAAACTTGAAAATAAATAACATTAAACGAAGGGAACATGATTTGAGTCCCCCTCAAGGACACCAAAACTAGACTTTTTTGGGGAAGGATGGGAGACGGAAATGTGACCTTCAGGTCTGGACAGATCCCCATCCAAAGCAGGCCTCAAACAGGAGCGTCACATTTTGTTAAGTAAATATTTCACGAATTTATAGAAATGCTTTCTACGTAACCTGGTATGTTATCTCAAGTCTTCGCCAGGGATGTCCTCAATTGCTTGGACATTTTGTCATAACTGGCATGCAAACCCTCTCCAGGACCTTACCCACGAAAAGCTATCAAACACAGTGTTTTGAAAATCTAGCTTGAACCAGATGCAAGTGCCCCACTGCTGTCATCCGCCCCTTTCTGCAGCCCTGCTCCAGGTCACGTAGAGCTGTGCTGCCGGTGTCCTCTCTTACCGCAGCCACTCCTTGCAAGCTCGCTCAGGAGCTCCGAGGCTGGGCAAGAGCCGGGCCCCTCCAGCACACGTTCATGACTTGAGAACTGGCCTTCGAGATTGGCAGGAGAGAGCCAAAGTGAACTCAAACGACCTAGAGGACAAAGGGCGCTGTCAGAGGGAACCGTCCGCGAGGACCACGCTGTTTACGAGGGCAGGGGATGGGTGCTTACTCACTTTTCATGTCATTTTTTAACACTACAATTCTCTTGTGACCATGTCCTTTTATCCAGACCACCTGCACACAAGATAACTACTGGTTAAGCCAAGGAAAACGAGGGGCAGCAGATCTTACACTTTAGGAAACACGTGACCATCTAGACTTGCCTTAAGCACACTAAAATTCAGAATACATGCTGAGAAAAATGTTTCCAGATTTAGTTTTTTGCTTAGCCGTTAAAATAACACAGACAGAAATGTTCGCTTGAAAAGAAAGCTGTGTGGACTGAAATAAGGAAAGCGAGGCTTTAAACTAATTTGTAACTACGAAAGGTCATTCCCCAGTGCAGCGTTGCTGCACGAGTCAAGGCAGTTCTCATGTGAGGGCTCTGAACAGTTTCCCCAGAAACGAAACACAATCTGAATTAAGAGACCCACACCCCAGAACGCTACAGCACCTCCTGCTCTCCGTCTCTTCATCCAAGCGAGCCCAGCCAGGCAGCAGACCAGTCCTTCCCACCACAACCCACCACCTGGTTCCACAGAGCACACCCCAAATGGGTGTCTACTACTTCCTGCAACCATTTACACTGGCTCAACTCTTTGGAACTTTAAAAAAAATGAATGTTTTCAGTAGTTCTCTTGGCATA